GCTTGATCATATCAACCCTGGAAACACTTCCAACACATATCGTCAGCTCACCTTTAGCTAGTCTCCGTTTATTCCGTAGCCTTTTGTTTCGAGTTACTAACACTTAGCAACCGAACCGGTATCTAATACCCTTGTGCTACTAGGAGTACTAGTAAAGTACACATCAACACAATGTATATCCAATATACTTCTATCAACCTTGCCAGCCTTCTCATCTACCAAGTATCTAGGGTAATTCTGCTCCAGTGGCTGTTCCCCTTATTACAGAAGCACTCAGTCTCGGGTTTGGGTTCAACCTTGGGTTTCTTCACTAGAGCAGCAGCTGAATTGCCGTTTCATGAAGTATCCCTTCTTGCCCTTGCCCTTCTTGAAACTAGTGGTTTCACCAACCATCAACAATTGATGCTCCTTCTTGATTTCTACTTTCGTGGTGTCAAACATCGCGAATATCTCAAGGATCATCATATATGTCCCTGATATATCATAGTTCATCACGAAGCTCTAGCAGCTTGGTGGTAATGACTTCGGAGAACCATCACTATTTCATCTGGAAGATCAACTCCCACTCGATTCAAGCGATTGTTGTACTCAGACAATCTGAGCACAAGCACAACAATCGAGCTTTTCTCCTTAGTTTGTAGGCTAAGAAAATCATCGGAGGTCTTATACCTCTTGACATGGGCACGAGCCTGAAATCCCAATTTCAGCCCTCGAAACATCTCATATGTTTCGCGACGTTTCAAAACGTCTTCGGTGCCTCAACTCTAAACCGTTTAACTGAACTATCACGTAGTTATCAAAATGTGTATGTGAGATGTTCGCAACATCCACATACGACGTTCGAGGTTCAGCACACTGAGCGGTGCATTAAGGAAATAAGTCTTCTATGAAGCAATGAGGACAATCCTCAGTTTACGGACCTAGTCCGCATAATTGCTACTATCAACTTTCAACTAAATTTTCTCTAGGAACATATCTAAACAGTATAACTGAAGCGCGAGCTACGACATAATTTGCGAAGACCTTTTGACTATGTTCAGGATAATTAAGTTCATCTTATGAACTCCCACTCAGATAGACATCCCTCTAGTCATCTAAGTTATTACATGATCCGAGTCAACTAGGCCGTGTCCGATCATCACGTGAGACGGACTAGTCATCATCGGTGAACATCTTCATCTTGATCGTATCTACCATACGACTCATGCTCGACCTTTCGGTCTTCTGTGTTCCGAGGCCATGTCTGTACACATGCTAGGCTCGTCAAGTCAACGTAAGTGTTTTGCGTGTGTAAATCTGTCTTACACCCGTTGTATGTGAACGTTAGAATCTATCACACCCGATCATCACGTGGTGCTTCAAAACAACGAACTGTCGCAACGGTGCACAGTTAGGGGGAACACCTTCTTGAAATTTTAGTGAGGGATCATCTTATTTACTACCGTCGTTCTAAGTAAACAAGATGTATAAACATGATAAACATCACATGCAATCAAATAATAGTGACATGATATGGCCAATATCATATAGCTCCTTTGATCTCCATCTTGGGGCTCCATGATCATCTTGTCACCGGCATGACACCATGATCTCCATCATCATGATCTCTATCATCGTGTCTTCATGAAGTTGTCTCGTCAACTATTACTTCTACTACTATAGCTAACGGTTAGCAATAAAGTAAAGTAATTACATGACGTTTATGTTGACACGCAGGTCATAAATAAATTAAGACAACTCCTATGGCTCCTGCCGGTTGTCATACTCATCAACATGCAAGTCGTGATTCCTATTACAAGAAAATGATCAATCTCATACATCACATATATCATTCATCACATCCTTTTGGCCATATCACATCACATAGCATACCCTGCAAAAACAAGTTAGACGTCCTCTAATTGTTGTTTGCATGTTTTACGTGGCTGCTATGGGTTTCTAGCAAGAACGTTTCTTACCTACGCAAAAACCACAACGTGATATGCCAATTGCTATTTACCCTTCATAAGGACCCTTTTCATCGAATCCGATCCGACTAAAGTGGGAGAGACAGACACCCGCCAGCCACCTAATGCAACTAGTGCATGTCAGTCGGTGGAACCGGTCTCACGTAAGCATACGTGTAAGGTTGGTCCGGGCCGCTTCATCCCACGATGCCGCCGAATCAAGATAAGACTAGTAATGGCAAGCATATTGAACAAAATCAACGCCCACAACTACTTTGTGTTCTACTCGTGCATAGAAACTACGCATAGACCTAGCTCATGATGCCACTGTTGAGGAACGTAGCATAAATTCAAAATTTTCCTACGTGTCACCAAGATCTATCTATGGAGTCATCTAGCAACGAGGGAGGAGTGGATCTACATACCCTTGTAGATCGCGCGCGGAAGCGTTCAAGAGAACGCGGTTGATGGAGTCGTACTCGTCGTGATCCAAATCACCGATGATCCTAGCGCCGAACGGACGGCAACTCCGCGTTCAACACACGTATGGAGCAGCGACGTCTCCTCCTTCTTGATCTAGCAAGGGGGGAGGAGAGGTTAATGGAGATCCAGTAGCACAACGGCGTGGTGGTGGAAGTAGCGGGATTCCAACAGGGCTTCGCTAAGCGCTGTGGGAGGAGGGAGATGTGTCACGGGAGGGAGAGGGAGGCGCCATGCCTTAGGTATGGCTGTCCTCCCTTCCCCCCACTATATATAGGGCCAAGGGAGAGGGGGAGGGCGCAGCCTTGCCCCTTCCTCCAAGGAAGGGTGCGGCCAAGGGGGGGAGGAGTCCATCCTCCCCAAGGCACCTCGGAGGTGCCTTCCCCCTTTAGGACTCTTCCTTTTCCTTCATCTCTTGGCGCATGGGCCTCTTGGGGCTGGTGCCCTTGGCCCATAAAGGCCAAGGCGCACCCCCTACAGCCCATGTGCCCCCCTGGGGCAGGTGGCCCCACCCGGTGGACCCCCGGGACCCTTCCGGTTGTCCCGGTACAATACCGGTGACCCCGAAACTTGTCCCGATGGCCGAAATAGCACTTCTTATATATAATTCTTTACCTCCGGACCATTCCGGAACTCCTCGTGACGTCCGGGATCTCATCCGGGACTCCGAACAACTTTCGGGTTACCGCATACTAATATCTCTATAACCCTAGCGTCACCGAACCTTAAGTGTGTAGAACCTACGGGTTCGGGAGACATGCAGACATGACCGAGATGACTCTCCGGTCAATAACCAACAGCAGGATCTAGATACCCATGTTGGCTCCCACATGTTCCACTATGATCTCATCGGATTTACCACGATGTCAAGGACTTAATCAATCCCGTATACAATTCCCTTTGTCTAGCGGTACGATACTTGCCCGAGATTCGATCGTCGGTATCCCAATACCTTGTTCAGTCTCGTTACCGGCAAGTTTCTTTACTCGTTCCGTAACACATCATCCCGTGATCAACTCCTTGATCACATTGTGCACATTATGATGATGTCCTACCGAGTGGGCCCAGAGATACCTCTCCGTCACACGGAGTGACAAATCCCAGTCTTGATTCGTGCCAACCCAACAGACACTTTCGGAGATACCCGTAGTGTACCTTTATAGCCACCCAGTTACGTTGTGACGTTTGGCACACCCAAAGCACTCCTACGGTATCCGGGAGTTGCACAATCTCATGGTCTAAGGAAATGATACTTGACATTAGAAAAGCTTTAGCATACGAACTACACGATCTAGTGCTATGCTTAGGATTGGGTCTTGTCCATCACATTATTCTCCTAATGATGTGATCCCGTTATCAATGACATCCAATGTCCATGGTCAGGAAACCGTAACCATCTATTGATCAACGAGCTAGTCAACTAGAGGCTTACTAGGGACATGGTGTTGTCTATGTATCCACACATGTATCTGAGTTTCCTATCAATAAAATTCTAGCATGGATAATAAACGATTATCATGAACAAGGAAATATAATAATAATCAATTTATTATTGCCTCTAGGGCATATTTCCAACATGAAATAGCACTTCCTATATATAATTCTTTACCTCCGGACCATTCCGGAACTCCTCGTGACGTCCGGGATCTCATCCGGGACTCCGAACAACATTCGGGTTACTGCATATACATATCCCTACAACCCTAGCGTCACCGAACCTTAAGTGTGTAGACCCTACGGGTTCGGGAGACATGTAGACATGACCGAGATTGCTCTCCGGTCAATAACCAACAGCGGGATCTGGATACCCATGTTGGCTCCCACATGCTCCTCGATGATCTCATCGGATGAACCACGATGTCGAGGATTCAAGCAACCCCGTATACAATTCCCTTTGTCAATCGGTATGTTACTTGCCCGAGATCCGATCGTCGGTATCCCAATACCTCGTTCAATCTCGTTACCGGCAAGTCACTTTACTCGTACCGTAATGCATGATCCTGTGACCAGACACTTGGTCACTTTGAGCTCATTATGATGATGCATTACCGAGTGGGCCCAGTGATACCTCTCCGTCATATGGAGTGACAAATCCCAGTCTTGATCCGTGTCAACCCAACAGTCACTTTCGGAGATACCCGTAGTATACCTTTATAGTCACCCAGTTACATTGTGACGTTTGGTACACCCAAAGCACTCCTACGGTATCCGGGAGTTACATGATCTCATGGTCTAAGGAAAGGATACTTGACATTGGAAAACTCTAGCAAACGAACTATACGACCTTGTGCTATGTTTAGGATTGGGTCTTGTCCATCACATCATTCTCCTAATGATGTGATCTCGTTATCAATGACATCCAATGTCCATAGTCAGGAAACCATGACTATCTGTTGATCAACGAGCTAGTCAACTAGAGGCTTACTAGGGACATGTTGGTGTCTATTATTCACACATGTATTACGATTTTCGGATAACACAATTATAGCATGAATAAAGACAATTATCATGAACAAGGAAATATAATAATAATGCTTTTATTATTGCCTCTAGGGCATATTTCCAACACTCCGCCCCTTCACCCCACGCAACGGGGTCCCTCCCGATTGCCCACACATTGATAAAGAGTGTCGTCTTTGCCGGGATCTCGTAGCTCTGGACGATCGACATCGTCGTCGACTCGTGTGGGATGAGAAGTGGTGTTGGTGGGTGGAGACGCAACCCCTCCTTCAACACCGCGTTGAGGTACTCCATCCTGCTAAGGTCATCTTCTTCGATGGCCAACTTGTCGTTGGTGACTCGTGTTACCTCGCCCCGCAACTTGGCCATTTTCTGGGGTTTTCTCGTGAGCTCCGCCATGGCCCATTCCAGCGTAATAGATGATGTCTCAGTTCCGGCGAAGATCATGTCCTACATATGCCCAAAAAAACACAAAGCAAAGGATAGAAAATAAATTAGTAAGCAACTAAATGGTTTTCCTATATCTCAATTGAGTGGGAGTTTTTCTGTTGTAAGTGTTATAAGAAAAATTCTAGATTGTCTATTTGGTAATTGACTGGTTTATAATTTGGTATTCGTTAACGTTCTCCACTATACAAACAATGACACATGACACTATCAAGTTGACTGATTTTCAGTTCTTTGTTAATCAAAAGTTTACGCCATACAAACAATGACATATGTCATTATAAAATAAAAATATATTTTACACGATTTCAAAACCTCAGCTACACCCTTGTTTGCTATGATTTGCTTGTTTTCGGAGCTTGTGAAGGCAGGTGCAATGGATTGTTACTTGCTACAGATAAACATTTCACACAAAGAAAATCCAATTTGCCTTGTTAACACCTTTAACCAGGAACTATTCAAATCAAAAGTGAGTTTATATTTACCACATTATTAAACCTGGATTCTCTTAACACAAAATTACATGTAAGATATGTATTATTGCTTTGCTACTTTTAATAAAATATGAAAAATATACATTGAAGTAACTAGCAACAAACAGAAGAGACAAAAGAGGCAAAAAGAAAGAAAATAAGAGAAAATAAACAAAACAAGTTCAATTCAACTACAAGCAAAACCCATGACCCACGGCTGTCTGTTACCCAAAATAAACAAATAATGGATTGTATACTAAAACCGCTTGAGCCAAAGTAACAAATACTCCCTCAGTTCACAAATATAACATGTTCTAACTTACTTTTTAAATGAAATGTATATAGACATGTTTTAGTGTGTTTGTTTACTTATTTCAGTCCATGCGTATTCCATAGAGACACGTAGGGAGTTTATCCTAAAAGAAAATTATAAATGAATAAATGAAAGCCGACATACAAATAAAGAGAATAATTGGACCGCAGAAGGCGTGATTTGAATTATTCAAATTATTCAAAATATAAAGACTATATAGAAGAATAAAGAATTACCTGAAATTGAAAAGAAGATCATTTATACGAAAAGTATAGCAATTCTGAAAATCGTAGGCAGACCATGGACCCAAAATTAAAGATGAAATTCTGGGGCTTTCGATCGATCACCTGGACAATGCTTATGATGCGATCGTCGGTGAGGTCGAGTCCGGCGGTGCCTTCTTCTCTCAGCCGCAGCAAGACGTCCAAGAAGTCATCCTCCCCTGCGCTGTCGTCCCACTTCTTCTCAAGGTGCTCGGCGATATCTCGGACAGGAACTTGTGCCACGCCTCCATCTGGTCGTCCAGCCTCTTCTCGAACCCCGTCGCCCACCTCACCACCTTCGCCGCCGCGTCGGGAAGCACGTCCTCCGCCTGGAGCCCCGACATGAGCGCCGCAGAGTTGCCCATCAGCTGCTTCATCCTCTCGGCCGTGGCGCCCGCGGCGCCGGTGGCCGCGCGGGTGACCACCGCGTTGCCGTAGCCGTACAGGAGCCCCCTCAGCTCCCCGGCCTCCCCGGCCTCCGCGGCGCGGCGGACTCCCGCGACGAGGGCGAACGAGTCGGCGCGGCGCTGGGAGAGGAGGTGGACGACGGCCATCTTCTTGCTGCGGCGCCAGGCGTCGCCGTAGGGCGCGAAGGAGACGTTGATCGAGCCGTAGGAGAGCTTGTGCACCGGCGCGCTGAGCACGCGTGACGCGAATGCGAGGTCGTGGTTCTTGTACAGGTCCACCGCCGCGGCCGCCGTGGACACCACCAGCGTCCGCCTGCGCCCGAGCTGCAGGAGCAGGAGGCCGCCGTCGCTGCCGTACCGAGCGTGCAGGTCGCGCAGGGAGCGGTGCGCGAGGCGGCCCAGGAGGTGGAGGTGGCCGAACAGCGGGATCGCCGGGGGCGATGGCGGGAGCTTACTGTTCTTGCCTCGAGCTTTCCTGGTCGCGCAGCAGAAGGCGACGAGCACGGCGACGGCCGCGACGAGCACGGCGTACGGAGACATCCTGCTTCTGCTCGACAACTGTGCTGGATACTACTTGAAAATCCTTGCTCAATGGGGTATATACCGTGTAGCGTGTTGTGACATTTTGATTCGATTATTAGGTGCAGGTGTGGCGTTGTGACTTTATTTTCCCGCGAGAAAAGGCGACGTGACTTGTGAGGTCGAGGGGCAGCGACGGCAGTGTCATTGTCTTCGGATCATGTGTCAACTTTGGTATCGTCCATGTGATCGTGATCGTGCCAAAAAAGCCGCCGGGTGCCGGCTAAGCTCGTGCTACAGTATGGGCCGGCCCGCCATAAACGTGTCTGGCACGGCACGGCCCGCATCGGCATGAATAATAACCGGGCCGTTTCATGCCGGCCCATGGGCTGGAGCTAGCAGCCCAGGCACAGCACATAGGCTACGTGGGCCGGCATGTCCGCGTTGTGGCATGCTGTCCCGTCTGGCTTTTTTTTTGTTCGTAATACCTCTGAAAACAGCAAAAAAGGGTAAAAATATATAAAAAATTGCAAAATTTGGTAAACTATTATGTGGGTTAAATCTAGAGCTTTATTACCACCTATATCATTAAAAACTTCCATCTCAAAGAAGTAAAAGAATACAAGACATGCTCTAGAATTACAAAAGGATAAAAAAATACAAAGACTACACTATAACACTACTAATACTCGGATCCATGCACTAATAAAATACGCATGCACTACAAAAATATTGAAAATATTAAAGTATTAGGTATCTATATAGGACATATATATTTATATATTTCAAAAAAAATAAACGGGTCGTGCCGTGCCAACCCGCGTGCCGAGCCTCCAGGCCTAGGCACGGCCCATGGCGTGCCGCGTGCCGGGCCTGGACCGTTTAGCCCAGGCCGTGCTGTGCCTGAGTCGTGCCGTGGCCGCGTGCTACGCGGCCCAATTAGCACGACCTGTTTGGCCAACTATAGACCCGTTATATCCGGCGAATTGCGGCAAGAAATTGGGTAAATCCGGTGGCGATAGCTTCATTTCAGGTCCCCCTATATCAAACAATTATCATAGGACAGGGGGAATGTCATATGCGAACGATTTGGTGGCAGTTTTAGTTGTTAGGACATGGTGAGGGGTGTCATTTTCTTCAGGTGACATGGCAGTTTCTTTCGGAGAAAGGATTTTTGTTCAAAAACTGTTGCCGTTTGATCTTTCATCATAACTAAAACTGCTTTTACTTTTCCGCCTTTAAAGTTTCGCAAAACTTGGGAGCCTTAGGTTGTACTTGTTTTGTTTTCTATGAGGAATGGAGTCTGGGAGTTTGCCTCGTTTTCATCTAAAAAAAAGTTAGAAGAGTTTTGCTCCCCTAATGGCCAATTGTTATTCTATTCCATAGGATAATGCATATTCCACTCGAGCCTTTAAAGATAATATCCACATGTATCTTATGCAATCAAACATTTTTGGGAGCCTGCACGGGGTGATAACAATTTTTTGAGAATATACAAATGAGAATCATTTTTTCACAAGAAAATGCAAGCATCCCCTCTTTCTTTACTCACAAGGAAAATACCCCCTCCGATCCAAATTAATTGGCGTTGCTTTAGTACTCCCTCCGTCTTGAAAAGCTTTTCTTACAAATCTAAGAAGCTTTCTGGGACGGAAGTAATACAACGTTGTACTAAAGCAATGTCAATTAATATGGATCGGAGAGAGTATCATCTTCATCTAAGAAGGAACAATATCATCTCCGCTACCATAGCAATATCTACAAACAATGATATCATAACATTCTTCTTTCGTGCTCTAAGAGGCCACAAACCACTAACCCATTGAAGTGCATGACCGGTGCTTCCAGATGAAAAATGTATTTTCAACACTTAGAGAAAATGTCTTCATTGCATGGACATGTTACAGTAAAGACATAATATAACCCCTAAAAAAATAAAGACATAATAGAAAATTGTATTTTTGCATTGCAATTTCTTTGCTTTGTGTATGCGTCATGGTGGTTTATACTTCATTATTTTTAATGTCATGGTGGTTTATACTTCATTATTTTTAATGTTAAAGGACGGTCTTTAATCTATGTCATTTTGTGGTTGGGTGTTATGTTTGTGTTGTTATTATGGTTTTCTTTATGTACCAATAGAAAAAGTTATGCCCGACACAATTGGGTACCCACCGTATCACAAGGTGCAACACAATTCCGCAACCTTCAAGTCCAATAACACCGAACAACACAAGTGAAAGGATCGATATGGTTGACTAGAGGGGGGGGGGTGAATAGGCAACTAACAATTTTTTAACTTTTCTTTACCAAATTAAACTTTGCATCAAAGTAGGTTGTCTAGATGTGCAACTAGTTGAGAAACCTATATGATGCAATAACAACAAACAAACAAGCAAGTAAGAGAAGTAACACTAAGAGCTTGCACAAGTAAAGGTAAGAAATAACCAAGGGTGGATCCGATGAAGATGAGGATGTGTTACCGAAGTTCCTTCCTTTTGAGGGGAAATACGTCTCCGTTAGAGCGGTGTGGAGGCACAATGCTCCCCAAGAAACCACTAGGGCCACCGTATTCTCCTCACGCCCTCACACAATGCGAGATGCCGTGATTCCACTATTGGTGCCCTTGAAGGCGGCGACCGGACCTTTACAAACAAGGTTGGGGTAATCTCCACAACTTAATTGGAGGCTCCCAACAAGACCACGAAGCTTCACCACAATGGACCATGGCTCCATGGTGACCTCAACCGTCTAGGGTGCTCAAACACCCAAGAGTAACAAGATCCGCTAGGGATAGGTGGGGGAATCGAAAAACTCTTGGTGGAAGTGTAGATCGGGGCCTTCTCAACCACTCCCGAGCAAATCAACAAGTTTGATTGGCTAGAGAGATAGATCGGGCGAAAATGGAGCTTGGAGCATTAATGGAGCTTGAGTGGGAAGAGGTAGGTCAACGGAGAAGAAGGGGACCCCTTTTATAGTGGGGGCAACAATCCAACTGTTGCCCCACTAAACAGCCCCGCAGAGG